CAAATTTGTGTACCCTCTAGACCCTATGAGCTATGTCATCAGCATCTTTGCTACTGACTGCCATTCAGTCTGTAGACTGAATGACAGTATGAGTTAGGATGAGTCAGAGTAAAGAAATGAGAAGAGCACGAATGATTAAGGAAAGTAAGAACAGAATGAATAAAAAATGGATTGAGCATTTGCAAGGGGCATTTGAGAAAAATAGAAAACTGTTCTGGAAGCAAATAAAGAGTATATATTGCGACATAAAAAAAGCATATTTCATGTACAAAGTGCAAGTGGTGAGCTACTGTGGGATGAATGTGAGATATGTAATAGGTGGTGTGAATATTTGGAGACCCTGTTGGGGAGCAGTGAAAGTAGCAGTTGTGGAGATAAATGAAGATAGTGATGGATGGGACCCTATTCAACTGAGTGTGGTTAGGAATGTATAAAGTGAATGTGAGGTAACAAATCTTTTGGTCTGGATGGTGTGATTGCAGAATTGTTAAAATGTAAAAGCATGGATGCTCTGACTGTGCAGCTTATGTTGGGAAAAAGCATGATGTTGACTGATTAGAGAAATGCTGTAATTGTTCTGATTTACAAGGGAAAGGGTGAAGGGACAGATTGCAAGAACTTTTGTGGCATAAGCTTACTGAGCATACCTGGAAAAGTGTTTGCATGAGTGTTGGTTGACAGAGTTGAGAAGCTGACTGCAAAGCAAATGCGAAAAGTGGATTTATGTAAGGGAAATAGTATATGGACCAGATCTTCACATTATGAATGATTGCAGAGAAAAGTTTGTATGTAGGTAAAAAAGCATTTGTAATATTTGTTGATGTAGTAAAAGAATATGATAGAGTTAATAGAGAAAGACTATGGCAATTGTTATGGGATTATGGAGTGAGAGGTAAACTACTTAGAGGTGTAATAATAGTTTATGAAAACAGCAAAGCATGTGTACAGTACATGTGGATGGCAAAGTGTCCAAGTGGTTCACAATTGAATAGGGTGTAAGACTGGGGTATGTTATGTCCTGTGGTTGTTTAATGTTTTCATGGATGCATGCATGAGGAGATCTGGAGTACCTGAGTGTGGAATGAAAATTGGAAATGAATGAGTCTGTCATTTATAGCATGCACTGTGATGTTAGTAGAGAGCAAGGAAGAGTTTCAGACATTGTATCTAAGCTTGAAGAGGAATTTGAGGAATATATGCTGCCAGTGAATGTGTGTAAAACTAAAATTTGTGGTACTTTGGTCCCATATCTGTGTTGTTTAATTCTATTATTCTTACCAAGTCATTTTGTAAAGCCTCTTACATGCTTACTTCTGGAGGCCGTAATGGTCTTGTTTCATGAGGTGAGTGTCAAATAATGCCAGTAAAACCTTCAAATTATACCAGCAAATATAATTTAATTTAGATAGAGTTAGTTAGCCTAATAAATAGGATTTTAACAATTTGGAGGGCTTATCACACCAAGGCTGACTGAAAATTGTACCAAATCTTTTATAAAAAAATTAGTCTTTAGTAATCACCTTCAAATTTAGGAAAAGATGCATTTCAGGTACAAGGACCCCTCATCAGCTTACAAACACACAGTACCAACTAAGCATACATATAATTACAACGCTAATAGTTAACCAATAGAAAGGAATTTTTGATATATACAGTGCACTGTATTTACAATAGTTAATGCAACTCATATACTAAAGAACTAAAAACTGTCGAGCATAAAAAGTTTTTAATATATATTAATGTGATATATCACATTATTTGGGACCAGTAAATGCCTTATTTTCTCCCACATTTTCCAAATTCTGGTAGATGGTTTCACTATTAATAATAAAATATTGTTAAATATATTAAAACCAAAAAGGAAGGAAAACTAACAATAAACTTACAATTATTAAAATAATTGGTTTTCAGACCTTAAACAAAACAAATATATCAAATCCATAAGACTGTGTGAAACCAACTGCCTTGTTACAACTTTCATTTTACAATGTGATGTGAATTTACTCCCACATCTGTTCAGCATCCGCTTCAAGGTTATGTAAAAACAATGTCATTTACCCCTCATGTAGCTTCAGTCTCACATTGTTACTAATTCTAATGTCTTCCTGTATTTTTAGAATTTCTGTGTGTTTCTGTAGTCTTCTTTTTAATTCTTTTGATTGTGTTCTGTCAGAATACTCTTGACACTATCTTTTAAAATTTCACAACCTTCGATATTGCAATGTTCTGCCACTGATGATGATGTCAAATTGTTTTTTATGGCAAATATATGTTCTTTAATTCTTGTTTTTAATTTTCTTCCGGTTTCACCAATGTATTTTTTTTTATGTGAACAACTGCAATCCAATGAATAAACTACATTATCTTCTTCTAAATCATTATGTTCATTATTTTTATATCTATTGTTAATCATTTTTGCTACGGTTCTTATATGGTTTGGTACAAAAATAATAATTAATTTTTTAAATTATTTTTTTTATTTTCCAAAAACATCGAANTAACTTTATTTTATGATAAAATACATTTTAAAAATTAAATTTATTTGTACTTTGTATTATATTGTATTAATAAACAAAATTATTTGCGTATTTTTCACTTATGTGGAACCTAACCCTATACCTCAGTGTAAATATGGGTTCGTTTTACGCTGATTCGATTTGCGCCGGCTTTTGTAGGAACGAAACTGCAGCATAAACCGAGGGCTACCTGTAGCTTCAAATGATAAAAATATAATATTTTAAATTTGTTTACTAAAAAAGCATTAGAATTTATGGTGAAACAAACAGAACAGTATAATTCTAAAAACAAATTATATAATTAAAACAAAAAAGATAGTGGCCATCTTTCTGAGTTTTCTCTAATGTCTTTCCCATAAAAGGGCATGCAAGAAAAACAGACAATTATCCCTTATCCCTAGCATCATTTATTTTTTGTAATCATGCATTTTTCTTTTTCGTATAGTTTTAATTTTGTAATGAACAAAATTTTTTATTGGAAGGTTATCAAAATCATATAGAATTTATAACTTTGTGACATTAAGTCTGTTTTATATCCATAAAAGTTACTTTCATTTTATTGTATGCATAATAAATGAGTAATATTTTTTATAATTTTATGGCATGGGTGATGTAATTAAATTTGAAAGTATACTGAACTTGACACTTCTTCCCTGTGAGGACTTACTCCAATAAAAGTGAATAATTTCATATGCATATTCACTTGTTATGTACGTAATTAATCTACCTGTTTGATATTTTAATATTTTATAGAATGATTACTCTAATATTTTCTGACGACCAATATTTTTTTTTTCTGCAACAAAACCACATTTTGGGAAACATTGCTGTAGTGGGTTAAAACTTATTCTGTATGATAAAAAAAAATAGGAAGATGGTTAACACACAATATTAAAGTTGTCATAATGGATAAATAACTATGCAGTACACAAAGGAATTTTTTTTTTTTTAATAGAGAAGTTGCTGCTGACATTTTCATTGTGAACACGTGTACATTGGACGTTCAGCACTGCCTTTCTATAAGCCTAGAAGTTTGACAACGGTGTTTGGAACATCAGTGAAATCATGCTCGATGTTCCAAATGCCATTGTCAAACTTCTAGGCTTACAGGAAGCTGGCACTGAACGTCTGATGTATATGTTTTCGTGATGAAAAAACATCGGCTTCAATCTCTGTATTGACTTTTAAGTTGTGGCTGTATGCCATATTATATTTTACATTTTGTTTATAGTCTTTAGCATATTTCCTTCGTTCTTCCATCTTCTAGAACCTTCTAATCTTCTTAATTACTCTGTTCCCTTGGAAGTGAGGGCACATGTGGGGAGAGAGTCACCTTTTGGCCAGTCATTATAGTAAGAGGACAAACAGAATAGGGAGAGTTGTCGAGTACCCAAGAGACAGGTGAAGCCAATTTGGAGGAAGAGAGACTCCTGAACTTCTTGGACCAAAGTTATGGTGTTGAAGTCAGTATCTTAACTTGACAAGGTTCGGGCTTGGATGAACGGCAACTTGAACTAAGGAAAGCTGAGCAAAACTGTGAATTGTGCCCAAGGAAATTTCCATGTCATCCCTTATTACAGCAGAAAGACATGTTTGTGCAACCCAGGTTCTTTATTTTATTCTGTCCACCATTTTTGATACTTCTAGACCTCTATCATCTGTTTTCCTTTTTATTTTGGTGTAAGTTAGTTTTAAGGATTACTTATAAGAAAAATTTTGGATAATATGTAGTCACGAATTCTTTGTACACATTGCAATATGTTATAATTATCCAGTTGATGATCGTGTTTTGGGTTACTGTTGGAATATCCATCCTAGAGTTGGCATCTGTAATTGATCCTGTACATGTTATGTATGTATGCAATTAATCTACTACACAAAATGAATTGTATTTTTAATGTCTACTATGCATGCTTTTTTCCCTGGGTATTTGCCTTAGTGGGCTTGCAAAAACCCTTACATATATCACAAAGTTATGTTTAAAATGGTGGTATGTAGCTAGGAAAAGTTTGAATTGAGTCAAACTGATCAAAAACATTCTTAATTTTAATAAATATGTGGCTAGGATTACAGAAGTGATTTTTATTTTTGTTGACTTTCAAGTTAGTTTAGACAAAGTAGGAGCTATTTGACAAGTTTGTAATTGCAAGTTAGAATAGACAGATAACCTGCATCTGTTTTCAAATTGATTTCTTTTAAACACAGAAAATCTGTGGCACAAAATTACAATAATACAGATGCAGGAAACTCAGGGATTTTTATTAGTTCTTGGAAAAAGTTATGGGAAGTCAGAGAATTTGCCTCCTTGGTTATCTTGTGATTTGTTTGTTGATACTATTAGTGTAGCTGTCTGAATTTTGTTTTTTTTATTGATTATTAATTTCCTTTAATTTCTAGGAAATATATGCTAAGGATTTAAATAAAATATGAAATTATTTTGTTTAAAAGTATATAACAAAATGTTTTTGTTTTTTCAACTGATAGATAATTGCCTGTTTGAAACAAGTATATAAAAAAGATCGTCTTTCTGACTCCTGTAAGTCTGAAGTTATGTTTATAATTCGAGAAGAGGCTGAAGATTATCATTTAAATGTAGTGTTAATGAAGGCCTGCGCTAATGAGGTGAACTGCACTTTTCTATTTATTAATTTGTGTAAATTGATATTTATAGAGTAACTGTTATAGCAACAAACTATTATAAAATAAATGACTGCTTAGTAATAATTTTACAAATTATAATTTTAATAATTTACAATGATTTCTAATTTTTTGCTACCAAAATTAAATCATGATTATGAAATTTTAATTTAGCAGTAGATGCCACTTATTATAATTGCTCTGGGATTAGCCTATATTGAGAACAATAATTTAGTGATAACATTGTGTTGAAAATAATTAGACCACAATTAGCTTGAACAACACCTTAAGTACTCATTTCAGCAAGACTAATATATTTAAATGAACATGATTGTTGTATCAGGTTGTCTACCAGCAATTGTCATCCTTTCTATAATGTTTCTTTTTTTATAATTTTTACATTGACCTGCCCTCAAAGCAAGGAATAGTTCATATTAGAGTTTCTCAAACGAGATCCCAGGATCCCGCCTGTTTTTTTAACCCAGGAAATTCTTCTCATCCCAAGAAATTCTGCAAATTTCTTAAAAGTTCACTTTTTTCTTATTTTGTGTTAAGGATGAGGAAATTTTACAAATAGAAAGTATAATTGACTCATAAACTGTCAGAATACATTTGTATTTATTAATTTTAAACATACTTATTAGTTTTTTTTAATTTTTCCTCGTTACGGCATGTCACAAATGGTCAATAATCAGTACATAGCTTATTTGTGGCAGGACTGAAAATTCTTTATGTGTTGGAACCTGTAATATCTGGAATAATTGTGCTTATGCTGTCTTAATTTTTAACCTTGCCGGTAGCTTCAATAACTGCATAATGCCAGGTTGTGCAAATTGGGCAAGGATACAAACAAGTATGAAGTTTTTCATCATAAACCTGATTATTAAAACCAAAAGAATTACTGAATTATCTGGCTATAAGCTTGATGTCGCTATTAAAACAGCCGAGGTAGACAAATCAAGAATACTAGACAGCAAAAGAAGTACTACAGTCTCAAAAACAAACTTGAAATCTTCCAGGCTACAAGTGAAAAAAACATATAACATCTGTTTTCTCTTAAATGCATTAAAGATGATTCCACTAACATCAATTAAATCGGAATGGTTATTCTCGGTAGTGGGACTTTTTATTACTAAAATAAGAATCAGATTGACTGATTGGAATATTGACCATCTTTGCTTTTTAAAATCTTATTATAAAAATTTACAATAATATTTTTTAAATAAAATATATTTTATTTAAAAAACAAAAATTATCTTTTAAGTTATAAGTTTGATGTAAGTTCATTTTTTTTAAATTTTCAACTCAATTTAAAGCATTTTGTTGTTGATGTTGTATGCAGTTTCCAGCAAACTTTAATAAATTTTTCATATTTGTGAAAATTTCTATGTAATTCAAAGGTAATTTTTAATATGTATCTTACGTAGCATTATTAATATGATTTTGGAGGTTGCAGAACGTATTAAATTACTTTAAAAAATGAAAAATAATTATATTATTTGATTTCATGATATTTTGTATATCTTCAAAATAATTAATTCTGTCCTCCGGGATCCTGGGAAACAGTTCACTTTTATCCTGGGGTCCCGGGACAAGCAAAAGACCGGGAAATGAGAAACCCTAGTTCATATGTCTTTATTGTTCTTAGTCTATGAATTTGAAAAACTTTTTTTAAGAACACTAGAAGCATATGAAATATACCTTGCTTCAAGAGCAGGTAGAATTCCCTAAAAATATATCTTCTTATGGAGTTCTACCTAAAGAAGGTTCTAGGTGTGTACTGAAAACATTAGTAATGTAACAGTTTTCATATCTAAGTGCAAAGCACAATAAGGTTAATGAGTTTTATTTACAATACTTAATGCTTTGTTGTTAGAAGATTACTTTATTTATCATAAAAATTTTAATATTAATTTGCTACATTGTATCATAATATAAACAATATATATTTGATTTAGTGGAACATATGGTAGAGCATCATTTATCTGAATCAATTGGGGACTGGGTTGTTCGGATAACCAATTATGTACGAAGAAATATATTAACCTATCCCATGTTAAAATTTTTCTACATTGCGTGTCTCTTTGTGTTGAATTTTTGTTGATGTTAAGCCTAATGAAAATTTTTATAATAATAATCGTGGCTATTGTATCATTAAAAATTAATAAACTCCACCATACCTTTAGAATACAGTCTATTTTGGATAGTTATCTAACGTTTTCGGTCTAATTCATAGACTTTCTTCAGGATTGATGTAAAAAAAATTTGAACTTTCCCAACGGTAATTCCAACAACGCACGTTCTACAATCTTCCGAAATTCGATTGCGCATGTCCATTTGCTCTTTATAATGCCGCCGCTTTCCCTGCTGATGCTATTCTATTTGACTCTCGAAAATTTATATTTAGCCCCTTTTCTCTGTATTTATAAATGTGCCAGGCTTCTGCATACTTTAGATGTCGTTTATTATCAATCTTTTGTATAATATCTGCCTTGCTCCATTCAATTGCAACCTCTGCAGGATCTGCGATAGCATAATTAGCCAATGGAGCAAGGCTGATATTATACAAAAGATTGATAATAAACGACATCTAAAGTATGCAGAGGCCTGGCACATTTATAAATACAGAGAAAAGGGGCTAAATATAAATTTTCGAGAGTCAAATAGAATAGCATCAGCAGGGAAAGCGGCGGCATTATAAAGAGCAAATGGACATGTGCAATCGAATTTCGGAAGATTGTAGAACGTGCGTTGTTGGAATTACCGTTGGGAAAGTTCAAATTTTTTTTTACATCAATCCTGAAGAAGGTCTATGAATTAGACCGAAAACGTTAGATAACTATCCAAAATAGACTGCATTCTAAAGGTATGGTGGAGTTTATTAATTAATAATGCAGTTAGAGATTTAATAATTCATTAAAAATTATTTCTTTATTTTGTACAAACAAAACAAATATATTAAAAAAAAAAAAATTATACTTTAGAAGTTAATCTAGTATCAAAAATGTTTGATTCAGCACAACACATGTCCTGACACACAGTCCTCAGAAAAACACCACATGAGTGCCAGTGCTGCCAGCTAAAATACACACACCAACAAAAAAAATATTGGAGTAGCCAAAGACATAGCCAAAGGTTGCAGCACCACAGCACTAGTGGAAATTAAATTTGCCGATTGGAACACTTTCGGCTTTCGGATAAAAGATGCTCTACTGTATAAACATTTAATAAACAATAAATATTTAAAATAAATTTTTCACAAATCACACCTAAATTCAAAATTTCCAGCAAATAAACATCAAAAAATACATGTCGAACGTTTTCGGCCACTGAATTTATTGGCCTTCATCAGGAAATGCAAACTGGAAAAACCGTTCTATAAATATAACTTAGCTGCCTTTTAAATTTTAAAAGAACGTTCCATAGGCAAGGAGTATGTTTAAATACTCCTTGCCTATAGAAGGAAACCCACTGTTTTCTGTCTTCTCTCAAATGAGAAGGACGACACTGAAGACACTCTGGCTCCTGGGATTTACCACATCCCCCTATATGAGGAGAGGTTTGACAGATTACTAGCTTACATAGGATCCACATACAGATCGCTACAAGCAAGACTAAAAGACAACAAATATGACGTGCTAAAAGGTAACATCAATACGGCTTTAGCATGATATGCCAGCGATCTGGGGATTTCCCCGTTGGGACCAGGTCAAGCTAATACACAAGGTGTTCGACAGACGAAATATAAAAAAAAATTTTAGAAGCAGTAGAGATCTACAAGGCGAGCATGAGTGGAAACTGCATCAACATGGATGTCATTCCTTTATCATCAGCGTGGAAACGATATCTAGACTCATAATATACGTCATACACGATACGTCACAGCCATTTTTCGTTCTTTTAAAATTTAAAAGGCAGCTAAGTTCTATTTATAGAACAGTTTTTCCAGTTTGCATTTCCTGATGAAGCCTGATAAATTCAGTGGCCGAAAACGTTCGACATGTATTTTTTTGATGTTTATTTGCTGGAAATTTTGAATTTAGGTGTGATTTGTGAATATTACAGTTCCAGTTTTCAGTGAGAGTGTATCTAAATAAATTTTTATTATATTTTGAATATATTAGTAGATGTGTTGTTAAACAACATTACATTAAAGTTTGCACACATCATGTTTTATTTGGGAGATAGTAACAAAGTTAGGGAGTGTTTTGTATAATGTTGTTTGTTCTTGTTAATGAAGCATGAATTGTAAAATGAGATACAAAATCAGTCCATTCTAAGGTAGCCATCTTTTTTGGTCTATTCTTTGTTCTCAAAACTGTTTTTTTCATACTATGGCGATGTCATTTTATTAACAGGTTATATATTCTTCACTACTTATCATATTTGTTAATTCTTTAATGATAAAGTTAATATTATCATTATTTAACCAAATTGAATAATTTTTCATTTTTATGAACATGAGAAGTCAAGAAAAGTTTTAATTAAAATTCTTGGTGCAGTGTTTTTATTTTGTATTTACATTGGTAATCAATAACAACAAAAACTGTAAATAATATTTGATTGGTGAGCTGATAGCAAGAAATACTTACTATTTTGTTTTATTTTAAAGATTCGGACGAAATGTGCAGAAGAAAATCATGTAGAAGAATGTCTGAAGTTGAAATTTCAGAATAAAGAAATCAGTAATCAAGAATGCAAATTGGTATGAATAATTTTTTAATAATTACTATAAATCTTCATAAAACCCATTGACAATTACATGGAACTGCTCTTACAAGAATAATCAGAAAAAGTAGATTTGACTTTTTTTTTTAATTGTATTTTATTGTTTACTTTAATTTGGAGTAATAATAGTTAACTTTTGTTCCAAATTTCTTATTTTGGCAATTGAAAGAAATAGTTGCATTTTTTCCTGTTGATGCTTAATGATAAATTATGTTTTTTTTTGTAGATTGTTTTTACAGTTTATCTATTTTCCTTTAAATCTTACTTCTACTCCTGCTATGTTAAGTTAGAATTCAGTGTTCCTGCTGGAATTTTCTTAATTTTCACCAATCCTTCCACCAAACTGAATTAATTTTTATTAGATGACTATTTCATTTTTCATTGCATGCAGCCTGTATATATTTGTAATAATTTCTTTGTTAATGATTTTATATTATATGTGATAGCAGTAAGGTGTAATACATTTACTTTATACTTTGCTACATGCTCCAGATTAATAAATTTTCTGTATGGTATAGAAAAAAAAATTTACTTTTGTATATAATAAATTGGGACAACTTATTTTGTAGTAATGGAAAGTGCTTCCATTAGAGGCAGCTTGAGTGTCATGGAGACCAGTTTCTTCTTAAAGCAGATTAAAGTCTGTTATAATTTAGTAAGGTTGGAAAGAAGAAAAAGGAAAGAGAAGGGAATATGGTTTGTCACATCTAGTGCAAGTGGTAGTCAATGTACTTATGATCAGTGCAAAGACCAGCTCCCATTGCTTTAATGCATGTACTGTACTAGTGTACTGTAGAAATTTTTGTATCTAATACTTGTGTTTTGTTATGTAGATACACAAATAATTCTGATAATGCAATGTTTCTTAACTTTTGGTTCATGGGTTTCTGGAAGTTCATGAATGTGAGATGAGGATCATAGAGTTCTCAAAAGAAAAAACAAAATCTTCTACAGTAAACTCTCAATACTATGGACTAATTTGGGTGAGATGGCTATTAAAAAGCTGAAAGTCCATTATATAGTAAAGTATGTTTTCTGAATGTGTGTGTTAAAAAATTGATAAATTAATTAGTTTATCTGTTTTTACTTATGTGGACACATTTATGTAATTAAAAATTTGTTGAAAAATAGGGAAAATATTTTTTCTAAACATTTTTATGATTGTTGTTTGATGGCAACATTGGTCAGTTTTGCTCTCAAGCTCCTTCTTTACTTTTTTTTCTCCGCCTTTTTTTTCTTTTTGACAGACTGTATGAAAAACCAATAGCACCAAGGTAACATCAAATAAACAGTTGGGGAAAAGAGTATACAATAAAAAACATGCGAGCTTTCCCTTGGGACCAAAGGTTGTTGATCACGGTGACACTATATTTAGTCTATTTGTTTTCTGAAATCGTGTTTTACTGTTTATTGAGTGTTGAACACAAGACTATGTTATTAATTAAACACTTGGCTTTTTTCCCATCTTTATTCAGTTGATACGGGTACTTAGCCTCTCATCAGTCAACTAAACAAGAAAGACCATATACAGTATTCAGAATATCACATTATACAAAAGGTAAATTATACAAAATTAATTCAAACACATGTATATTTTTCAAATCATACCATTAAACACGCTATGTGAGCAATGACATGTATACATCACAAATTCACATTCTTCCAACTAGAAGAATAAGTTGACTGCATCAACTTTATAAAATCTATGTACATCTAATTAAAACAAGATAGAAGTATTTATAAGTAATATACATAAAGGAATCCAGTTCCAGATAGAAGAAGAGGACAGTGTCAACAATAGTACAAATTATTTAGATATGGTAATTAAAAGGAATATAAACAGTATAGAATTCGAATCCTTTAAAAAGCCTTGTTCCATTAATACAACAAATTTTTAATATGGAAATTTTAGCTCTAAGTAAATCTGATGATAGAAAACAGAAAAAACAGCATAAAATTCTGGACATGTCAAAACTGTCCAGATTTCTCTAATTATTTTTGTTTTATGTGCAGGAAGTAATTCGACTGATTGAAGAAGGAAAGGCGGACATCCAGTCGGATCCTCTTCTGTACAATGCGTGTCTTCAGGACGTCCGACGTCACTGTGTGGATCTGCGACCTGGACAGGGACGGCGTATGTCTTTTTCTTTTTATTATCAAACAGAACTAGTTTCAAATCCTTAACTTAGTCTACAGTTAACAATCTATATTCATCTGTATTTTACTATAAATGTATGCTATTTTCTATAAAAAACATTTATTGTCAGTAATTTTTCTTCTATTTTTGTCCTATTCAAGTGTCTAGATAAATGAAACAATTGACAAATTTGTTTTATTAGTAAGTCAGAAAATGCCTTTTAGGTAAATACCTCTCTTCAGTGCCGTAAAGTCAATTACAAATTATTTAACCAAAATAAATACTTTAAATCAATTTATTTACTGTTTTCCATATGTTGATACCATGATGCCTGCTCCAAGATCCCCAACTTGATATGGGAGCAAATTTGTGTACCCTCTAGACCCTATGAGCTATGTCATCAGCATCTTTGCTACTGACTGCCATTCAGTCTGTAGACTGAATGACAGTATGAGTTAGGATGAGTCAGAGTAAAGAAATGAGAAGAGCACGAATGATTAAGGAAAGTAAGAACAGAATGAATAAAAAATGGATTGAGCATTTGCAAGGGGCATTTGAGAAAAATAGAAAACNCAATAAAAAAAAAATTAAAATATTTCAGACCTGACATCTGTCTGTGAAAATTTGCAACATTTTTGTAAAATTCACATACTCCAGTTAAGTAGTTTGTTCTTGGCACCAAGCCAGAACGACTTGAAATGTTGTTCTGTACAATTCGATATAACATTTATGAATGTACGATTTTTAGTTTTAAAATTATCACAGATTATAATATATCCTTTGTTTGGAATCTAACCTTTGTTTTGCTATCGATGAATATTACGAACTAATATTCTTTATTCATTCTATTTTGAACAATAATATAAATTATTGTGATAAATATATAAACTAGTAGTAATACATTTACGATGTGCTAATGTTTTTAGCTAAATTAAAAAATAAGAAATAAAAAAATTTATAAAATATTAAAATTAAAGGTCACAATTTAAATATTTATCATAAATCGCTTAATTATAACTATATACACTTATTATAGCATAAATAAACGTATTATAGTAATATTATTACGTAAATATGCTCTAAAATAAATTTGAAAATATTTAAGTTTAAAAAAAAATCGCTAAATAAAAATTTTTGAGTCGACAAAACACCACCTGGACACAAATATGTGAAACAGATGGTAAACAACACACTACCGTCAAGTGGTGGCATCTGTTGCCAAGAATTATCATTAAAATCGATTTTTATTAGGGTATCGACGAATCGTTACCCCAGAACGTCGTTATGAAGAAGGGGGGGAAGGCAGATCGGTACTTTGGGAAAATAAGGGTTAAAATGTAAAAGCATGGATGCTCTGACTGTGCAGCTTATGTTGGGAAAAAGCATGATGTTGACTGATTAGAGAAATGCTGTAATTGTTCTGATTTACAAGGGAAAGGGTGAAGGGACAGATTGCAAGAACTTTTGTGGCATAAGCTTACTGAGCATACCTGGAAAAGTGTTTGCATGAGTGTTGGTTGACAGAGTTGAGAAGCTGACTGCAAAGCAAATGCGAAAAGTGGATTTATGTAAGGGAAATAGTATATGGACCAGATCTTCACATTATGAATGATTGCAGAGAAAAGTTTGTATGTAGGTAAAAAAGCATTTGTAATATTTGTTGATGTAGTAAAAGAATATGATAGAGTTAATAGAGAAAGACTATGGCAATTGTTATGGGATTATGGAGTGAGAGGTAAACTACTTAGAGGTGTAATAATAGTTTATGAAAACAGCAAAGCATGTGTACAGTACATGTGGATGGCAAAGTGTCCAAGTGGTTCACAATTGAATAGGGTGTAAGACTGGGGTATGTTATGTCCTGTGGTTGTTTAATGTTTTCATGGATGCATGCATGAGGAGATCTGGAGTACCTGAGTGTGGAATGAAAATTGGAAATGAATGAGTCTGTCATTTATAGCATGCACTGTGATGTTAGTAGAGAGCAAGGAAGAGTTTCAGACATTGTATCTAAGCTTGAAGAGGAATTTGAGGAATATATGCTGCCAGTGAATGTGTGTAAAACTAAAATTTGTGGTACTTTGGTCCCATATCTGTGTTGTTTAATTCTATTATTCTTACCAAGTCATTTTGTAAAGCCTCTTACATGCTTACTTCTGGAGGCCGTAATGGTCTTGTTTCATGAGGTGAGTGTCAAATAATGCCAGTAAAACCTTCAAATTATACCAGCAAATATAATTTAATTTAGATAGAGTTAGTTAGCCTAATAAATAGGATTTTAACAATTTGGAGGGCTTATCACACCAAGGCTGACTGAAAATTGTACCAAATCTTTTATAAAAAAATTAGTCTTTAGTAATCACCTTCAAATTTAGGAAAAGATGCATTTCAGGTACAAGGACCCCTCATCAGCTTACAAACACACAGTACCAACTAAGCATACATATAATTACAACGCTAATAGTTAACCAATAGAAAGGAATTTTTGATATATACAGTGCACTGTATTTACAATAGTTAATGCAACTCATATACTAAAGAACTAAAAACTGTCGAGCATAAAAAGTTTTTAATATATATTAATGTGATATATCACATTATTTGGGACCAGTAAATGCCTTATTTTCTCCCACATTTTCCAAATTCTGGTAGATGGTTTCACTATTAATAATAAAATATTGTTAAATATATTAAAACCAAAAAGGAAGGAAAACTAACAATAAACTTACAATTATTAAAATAATTGGTTTTCAGACCTTAAACAAAACAAATATATCAAATCCATAAGACTGTGTGAAACCAACTGCCTTGTTACAACTTTCATTTTACAATGTGATGTGAATTTACTCCCACATCTGTTCAGCATCCGCTTCAAGGTTATGTAAAAACAATGTCATTTACCCCTCATGTAGCTTCAGTCTCACATTGTTACTAATTCTAATGTCTTCCTGTATTTTTAGAATTTCTGTGTGTTTCTGTAGTCTTCTTTTTAATTCTTTTGATTGTGTTCTGTCAGAATACTCTTGACACTATCTTTTAAAATTTCACAACCTTCGATATTGCAATGTTCTGCCACTGATGATGATGTCAAATTGTTTTTTATGGCAAATATATGTTCTTTAATTCTTGTTTTTAATTTTCTTCCGGTTTCACCAATGTATTTTTTTTTATGTGAACAACTGCAATCCAATGAATAAACTACTACATTATCTTCTTCTAAATCATTATGTTCATTATTTTTATATCTATTGTTAATCATTTTTGCTACGGTTCTTATATGGTTTGGTACAAAAATAATAATTAATTTTTTAAATTATTTTTTTTATTTTCCAAAAACATCGAAAACGTATTCCATTTTAAGATACAATGTCTTAACAACTCCCAGTTGTCTATTTAATGTGACATTTTGTCTTTTCCTTTTACTTGTTTCTAACCATTTTAACAATAATGTTCTAGGATAATTATTTAAGCTAAATGTTTTTACTATATTTTTTATTTCCATTTCTTGATCATTTTGCATGGTCATTCTCTTTTTAATTGTGTTAATATGCATCTGAAAAGTGTTCTTTTTTATATATAATGGTATATTAGATTTGAAGTGTATAACTTTACTGGTAGCACATTCTTTAACATACATTTTAAATAATAATTTACTATTTAATGTAACTATAGTAAGTTCTAAATAATTCAGACTATTATCTACTTCTTTTTCACATTGTAATTGAACATTTTTTTTTATTAGATTAATTTCCTTTTCTTGTAAAAGATCTGGTCCAATTTTCAATCAGCCTTGGTGTGATAAGCCCTCCAAATTGTTAAAATCCTATTTAATAGGCTATCTAATTCTGTCTAAATTAAAGTTGTGGGCTAGAAGCGTCATTTATTATTATTGAAATATAATTTTGATAAGTAATCTATGTGTTCTTTGAACATATAGTGTATAATAGAACATACTTTTTAAATAATATTTAATCTAACAATNATTTAAGCTAAATGTTTTTACTATATTTTTTATTTCCATTTCTTGATCATTTTGCATGGTCATTCTCTTTTTAATTGTGTTAATATGCATCTGAAAAGTGTTCTTTTTTATATATAATGGTATATTAGATTTGAAGTGTATAACTTTACTGGTAGCACATTCTTTAACATACATTTTAAATAATAATTTACTATTTAATGTAACTATAGTAAGTTCTAAATAATTCAGACTATTATCTACTTCTTTTTCACATTGTAATTGAACATTTTTTTTTATTAGATTAATTTCCTTTTCTTGTAAAAGATCTGGTCCAATTTTCAATCAGCCTTGGTGTGATAAGCCCTCCAAATTGTTAAAATCCTATTTAATAGGCTATCTAATTCTGTCTAAATTAAAGTTGTGGGCTAGAAGCGTCATTTATTATTATTGAAATATAATTTAATTTAAATATGTTATGACAAATGTTTTTTGAGGATCTGTGTCAGGTCAAAAAATATTTGATATAATTATAATGATAAATGTTTGAATTTAAATATTTTGAAATTGTTAGAACTGTAAACATTAGAAGTATTCAACAAAATTCATATGTAGGTGTTAACATTAATGTTAAATTTAAAATAAAAAATGAACATACACATTATTTTTATAAATCTTAAGTGAAATAATTGATTTCTTATTTTTTTATAAATGTCTGGATCACCAAAAAAGGATTGTTGTTTGCTTTTGCCAAAATGCATAAACCAGGTATCTTGTAAAGACGATTAGTAGACAAAGCCAGATCACCGACCAGATGTTTAGAAGATGAGGTACACCATCTACTAACATCAACCTTAAAAAATTATAAATTTACAATTCAAAATGTGCAAAATCTTCTAGTAGAATTACAAAACATTGGATTAAGTAATAATGAACACTTTACAGTTTTAGATTTTGTATCCTTATATTCATCTGTTAAATTAGAGCCATGCTTCTGTGCCTTATGGGATTTGTTATTTCAAGTAGTTAAAAGCCCTGTACATTACCATCAAATTTTAAAATTAGTGCATATGCTATGCTGCACTTTGTGTTTTCAATACAATA